TGTTAGATCTTTTTCTGTTTGTATCAAAGGACAATGTGGCTAACATCTATAGTGAAAAAGATGGAAACATAAAACTTCAGGAAAACCACTAAAAAATGTAGTTCCTAGTGTGCATTTGTGGTACAATCTTCAACAAAGATAAGGATGAAATTAGAACACTGTCAAAAAATATATCATAAGGGAGAAGGTAGCATACTGATCTTAATAAACAGCTGTGCCAGTGAAAATACAGCAGACTTTTAAGTCTGTAAACCCCAAAGAGACCTAAGGGAGCTGGCACCTCATTCTGCAAAATCAAGCTTAAGGATGGCTTCCTTTTCAAGACTAACGCATAAGCTCAAAATGCTATTGACCATATAAATCTTTTCACTGGTATGGACACAAAAAAGGCTTTCTCCTCTTAAAAAGCAAGTCTGCCATTATCAGTTGAGCCTTCTCACGAAGTTCTGACCACAGAAGCCATGAAGAATGAAAACACTGCTGTATATGCAACATGCACCTTGCTCCTTGGTGCTTCTTTGGTAACAAATGGTCTCCCCATGCTGTGCAACATCAGCATACCAAACAGAGATCTATAGTTTAAATAAATATATTGCAATAACTACAGGAAAGGAATTCCGACTGGTGAATAAAGATGGTCACACTAAACTGCCAGAACCTAGTTTTGTTTATTGTTAGAAATAGCAATATAGAATTAAAATGACTAATTTAATACAACTGAACAGAGACTCATTCACTAACATAAGGATTTTGGATGACCAAAGAATGAAGAAAAGATATGACAGGCACCATCTCCCTTTGGAGGAAGACAGTTCTCAGTGCTCTATGGATGTCTAAAAGGGAACTGCCAGACACCTTCAGGAGCTTTGGAGTTAAGGCAAGTTCATCATTGCAGGGAGGAAGTCCTTTGCAACACCAGAGAGGCCAAGGAGAAGCCTGCCTTAATCTACAGATGTGGAAAGACCCCATGTTTGAAATGTTTTGTTCAGACTGCGGCACCAAAAAGCACTCCCTATGTTCTTATCCATGTACACCAGCTTTGTTCTGGGGTTGAAAGCCAAACGCACCCCAAATACCTCGTCTGTTCTATTTTCATTTGTTTTGTAGACTTTTTTCTACCTGTGGATAAAGGTGCTGAAAATTAAGCTAAGAATATAACATTTCATTTACCATTTCTCAGTTAATTTTTTCCCATATTTGAATTGTGCATTAAATTATCCAGAGTAGTGACTTGACCAGAACACACCACAGCTGTCCTCTGGCCACACACCTGTACCTATCCTCTGTCCACACACCTCTACCTCCTCTCCAGACAGCTCAATCTTTTTTTTTTTTTAGACTATGTCTTTTTGACAGAGGTTTTGAGCTTCCCAGACAGAAAACACTGAAGCCTTTTCCTTACGCAGTGCAAGAAAAGAAACACAGTTGGCATATTTCTTCTAGACACATTTCACAAAGGCAGCATGTGCACAGCTAGCGTGTTTTAGAACAAACAAAAACACAGCAAGAAGAGATAAACACAAGACTATGGCTGATGGCAAAAGAAAACCCTAAAGGGAAGAGTCAGAAGTTGCCAAGATGATTCAGAAGATAGTAAAGATCCCTGAGCTGCAAATAGTCAAGGGCTCCACTATAGAGGCATATTGAGGGAAACTCCTTTTCCCGTTTTTATAATCTTTCTTTTGGTCACCACCAGAGAAATGATACAGGGTATGAAGAACTTTGATATGATACAGGGAAACTGCTCTTACACTTTTACGATTGCCGAGAGAAACAACAATAGCAGCTAGAAAGTAGAAGAGACAGTACACCTAGATATATTGCTTCTTAAGCAAGCATGTTCTGCTCTCCAAGATGGGACCACAAACTCCCCAGGTGTCAAGACATACACCGACAAACACCCAAAGGAGAAAGTTCAAAGAATAATTCCTTAGCAAGGATAGAATACAGTAACTATTGGCCTGTTATCTATTAATTACTCAGTGAACCAGTATTCTTTTAGTGAAAAACCTTCAAATAATTGTTCTTCAGTTGTAAACATTAAAAAATAGGCAGTTACAACAGAAAATCTGTCAAAAAAAAAAAAAAAATGCAAATCTGGGAAAAAAAAAGAGGGTAGACTCATACATAGTCCTACATGGTTAAGCAAGGAGCAATTAAATGGGCATCTTACTTGCTTTTTCCTCCAGACAAGGAATACAACAAAAATTATAACATATACTCCAAAATATATTAAAAATTAACATGACTCTTAGAGATCTCAGAAGTCTTAGCTGTATAAAATATTACTTTACAAGTCAATATTTTTAAAGACTTTTGCTAACTAAAAAAATCCCCACAGCTTCAAAAATAGAACTGGTACATACTCTCCATTTTTATATTTAATCCAAGCAGTATTTTACAAGCTATTTTATTCAGAATATGAAAAATAGGTAGCCCATAAGGAAAGAGCTTGTTTCATTCTTGCCACTTGATATCTCAGCCTTTTGAGAGAGATTTGGTCACTCAGTCTGAAGGTGACTGGCTGCAGATACTAGTTGCACAGACACCTCCCTGGTGCATTTCAACATATAGTTGAAAAAGACATTTTCAAGATTTGTGTGCTATTTAATAGCAAACTAGATCTGCAAAACAGAATAAAAATTAACCCCATAAGAATATAACACCTTCTTGGAAGTCTAGAACATATTCCAGCAAAAAAAACCCACACCACACCCCAACACACATTCACCCCACCAAACTGTGCAATAAAAGCTTTTTTAAACAGAAAAGACAGTACCCATGGAACAGTGTAAGACTCCTCAAAGGGGTTTCCAAGAAGGTACTAAAGCCTAAATATCTGACAGTGGTGGATCACTAACAAAAAGTATTCCCAACAGCTGTTATGGCCTGCTTCATTAGTGCACTCAGAATGAACCAGACACTTGTCTGGCAACAGTTCAAAGCCGGTGAGCACCTTGCAAACATCCTTCCAGTTCAACTTTTAACAAGTTCCTCAAGTATCTCAAGAATCTTTTTAACAAGATTCTCACAGTACCAAGCAAATGTTACAAAAGCTAATGTGCTTTTCCAGGTTCGGATTAGCAGCTGAATACATTCAGAAAACAAATACAGTATTGATATTTTTCTAATCTCTGAGAACAGACAAGGGCTCTACGTTACTACACAAGTCATTCAGGATGTGGTTTACATCCATCCCATAACCAAAGGAGAAGATGTGTTATATTTGTTGTATTTCTTTGCATATTCTTGGTTTCAAAAAATCCTACCGTATAAACAATCATTTGTGTTTTAATGAGGCAATCTGCACAGTTTACTACCAACAGAAATTCAGAACTCCAGATAACCTACTATACATCTGTCAGAACACTATTTACTTGTGATGTAACTTATACTAATACATGCCCACCATATAAAAATGTATTCTCCTTCTCATTTCCATTACTGCTATTTATCTTCCATCCATAACAGAATAAATCACAGCCCCCAAAGGTAAGGAATTAAAATGTACATCATATTTAAAATGCTGTAGTTTAATTATGTTCTAGAGAGCAAGTATGTAATGTTGATGTGAACATTCTTCTAGGTACTTAATTTGATACACTTTGATTTCCCAGGGACTTATATATCCTATGCCTTCTAGACACACTTTGTATATTTCAAATTAATTATTTCTATACATGGGATAGCTTTCTTATTTAATATATATATATTAAAAAAAAAAAAAGGTTTCCAAGTGAAGTCAAACTTTCAAAACTATTTGGAGCAAACCTATTTGTTGATGAAATAAAGATGCAAGAGCAACCTTAAAAATGTAACTAGAGAAGCAACCTAAACTTTATTAAGAATTTTAACTCAAACATCTAGCAAACACAACTGGTGAATCTTTTTTATGATTTTCTTGTTCCTCAGCCCATCTGACTATTTTTCATTTAAAAAGATAGTTCAGGAGGCAATCTGCATATTTCATTGCAGACAGCTTTGGTACTAAAATTAATTAACAAAAGTAACAAAATAACTGCTCAGTGCAGACATTTAGAACATAGATATTCACAGTTGTGACGAATAGAAAAATACAGACTAAATCCTGTTGGTCTCAAAATATTTTACATGAGTTTCAGTATTATTACCTTCACTTTGTAAAGAGTTTGCTGAACTTCACCACATATTTACAAAATTAGAAAGCCTCAGCCCACTCTAGATATACAGAACTCTCCATATGCACATATATATATATATTCATAAAGAAGTACAGAGAGGGGAAAACAAGCATCACATATTGCACAATGAAAAAGTTGAAAGCAGACAAAAACTGAGGATGAAAAATTATTTTGGCATTTCAGTTAACCTTTTACTGAAATCCCCATCCCTCCAAAATTCACATGCAAAGTATGTGATTCCCCACACACCTGAGTGGATGGTGTTTACAAATGCTTGCAATAACATGCATTACTCTCTATCAAGAGTGTGAAAAACAAACTTCTGTTTTGCTTGAAGAAGGTCTGATGAGTTACTGGTTTCTAGAGAAGTCAGCAATATTAAGATAGAGACTTATAAAAAATAACGTATTCACACTTCTTTTCTTCCACCTGTGCAGAAGCTCACCCTTAGACTGGTAACATTTCCTACTGCTGAGAACACATACAGAGAAAAAACAAAAAGTGGATTTTCAGCTCTCACTTAACCCAGATTACTGTATGTTCTTGACTTCTTCCAGAGCTCCCATACAGTGTACCTCTTCACTGACCCAGTGGACTTTGGGACTGGTCCTCAACATCACCATCCCCTTCCTACCAGTGAACATACAGTGACCATGCCAATCAGATGTAAAGTGTGTATTCCACCCAAGACTCTGAGTAAAGAAGAATGAAGGGGGATTAGAACAACTTACCTGAAAGGCCTGTATACAAAAATCCTAGTCAGCAAAAAAATAGCATGTTAACCATTACAATGAAAAGACATACTATAAGCAGCTGCATAAAACTCAGGAAACTTCATACTTGTCTTCTGGATGCTGGTCCTCCTGGTCACTTAGTTCATCATCGTCTACCATATGCCCAAATGGTTCAGAAGAAATTGATACCATATTAGATAGGATTACTCTGCTATCACTGCTTCCGGTAAGGATCAGCTGATCATGAGAATGATTATATCTGACATTCCAAACCCTAAAAAATGAAATCAGAAAGAATAACAGGCTACTCTTGGCAGGTAGTGCATCAATGTTAAATGATTTTTTTTTAAAAAACAGCACTAAAAATTGATCTTTGACATAAATGTTTTAAGTGCACATAGAAGTGACATGCCTCATTCCAACGATTATTTTTTGCCATCTTCATTTGGCTTTTAAGCTTCCACTTCATCTGTTTTCTGTAAGCTCTCTTTAAAATTCAACAAATAAGTTTTGGGAAAAAAAAAATCCAAAGAACAAACCCCACCGTTCAGCGGTATCATTCTTTGAGGATACATGCCAATTCACTGTTTAGTATGTCAGACAAATACTTAAGTTCTAACTATAAAAGATTTCCCCACAGCAAAATATGGATTAGATATAACACGTTAAATAAAAATCTCACAATATTCTTACAGTAGAGTTTAAAATAGACCCTAAAACAACAGCAGAATTATACTTCTCTTCTAGTTTTACATTTTGCATATCACGTTAATACCAAATGTCTTATGGCTCTTGTTTTATTCTTTTAATCTTCTGGAAAAAGAGTATAAAATGCTGCTTCTGTTAATTCACATCTTCATTGCCCTCAAAGTAGCTTCAGGGTCCAGATTTATTTTGTAAGAATTACCCCAACCCAAATTCTAAAGAATAAGAACTGCTCATCTTCTCTTAAACAGAGATTCTCTCCTTGTTCCAGCCACAGGCCAAAGTGTTAGATACAGGGTCTAAATATTATCTTAGAGAGTAAAATTACTCACTTGCAAATTCTGGCTTAAGGGCTGTGAAGGAGTATGAAAAAAAAAATGCAGGGCTGAATTACTGAACATTTCAACCATTTGACAATGAAAGTCTAGATAGTAGCTGCTTTTCTGCATGTCAGACAGAGCAGCTGAGACTCACTTTGGGAAGGTACACCTGTGTCCCAGCTGGCCTCTACAAGCCAAGTCCCACGCTGTGCTTCTCAAAGGTGCACCCCATCTTCCAACAATCCTACAGACAGTTTCTTGCCAATTAGACTAACATTGCCTAAACCCTTAATTTACAATCACACAAGGAACATTCACGTTTTGAAACCTTTCCTCTGTGCACAAACATAGTTAGTTTGCATTGTTCCTAAACAGTAAAATAATTAGCTGAATAAATTACACAAGCCATCCACCCGCAAAACAGCATGCAGATAATTTGTTCTACCAGTGGGAATGCTCCTCTAGTGTCTTCACTGGTTCAGTGACATTTCTTGTGTCCCAGAATTTCACCTTGCAGTCATCTCCACAGCTAGCCAGGTAGTACTGTTTATTGGGATTAAAGTCTAGGTCTCGTACCAGCTGTCCATGTGCATTTTCTATGCAATATATCTGTCTGTAAAACACATTAAAAAAATTAAATGGTCTATAAAGAGCTAACTGCACTCCGCTGACAGGAATCTGTTTCCCTGGAAACCTGCATAATCCCCTTAGCACCCGCAGACCTAGAGTTCCCATTGCTAGTGCATAGTTTAGGGAAATCCCAGCTGTTAACAACAGTGGCTTGCATAGATTTCTCATCTTGCTTTGAAGCTTTGCTCTTTCCTTGTTTGCATTAGGATCATCTGGAGCTAAAGGGAAACAGTGGCTCCACATGATTCTAGCACAGCTCTCAAACAACTGTTACAAAATTCCTGCTACTAAACCACAATATTTTCAGATAAGAGCTTTTCCACCCCTAAGTACTTTTACTATTTCTGTATTTATGACATCTAGTTTTCCTGTATGAAAAGCCGGGATGCAAGGGATGCAATAGATATGACAACAGCTTTTTATTATTGCTCTATTTTGAACTTACCTTCTTGAGCTCTAGCATTTATCATTAATTTACCCACAGCCCTTAAACCACTCAGCAGTGTGCATACTCATCCACCTGGACCACTTCAGAAAACATCTGTAGTACTACTAACAACCTAGCATCTTTATTCAAAACATGTTCCATCAATTTGTCTCCCTACCTTGCCTTTTAAACTTGGATTTTGGTGCTTTTTGTGTTTCCGCTATTGCATTAACAGTTTTCTCAAATCCACTATCCAAAGTTCTCCTTAGATGTAAGTCTTCTACAGTCTTCACTAGAATTGTCAACATTTTGTGAGCTTTTTTTTTTTTTTATTTTTTATTTTATTTTATTTTAAATGAAAAATGTTTCTCTTCAGAAAACAGAGTATCCAAAACTTTCTCTTTCTTGTGTTGTACATACAGTTTCCTGTCAAGACCAGACAGAATTCTCTTGCTGTTAATACCTAACTAGTAATAGAAAGCAAAGTAGCTCCATAAGGACAGATTCAAACTCTACCAGGCCCTATCCAGAGGGCTATCTTGTGTCTGCTAAGCCCTGTCCTGACAGTAATGGCAGTTACTCAGGATAGTCCATGTTACTTGGATATCCAACATCAACACTCTTCTTGGAGTCTCACAGGTTAGCATTATCAGTCACATATGCCTCCCTACCAGTATTCTGGGAGTTGGATTCAATATTTCCTCTTAATATCCTGAAATGTCATTATGGGAAAATTTTTAATTCTCAAGCCTGTATGCAGTCATAAAATACTTCTTTCCTCCTTTATTGCACCTTTCACTCCTTGGATTTCTTGCATCACTCATGGAAGTGAAAGGGCTTAAAAATAAATTTTTAACTGTATATTCCTGTATATATTCCCATATATCCACTGTATATTCTGTAGCACTTACCATGAAAGCCTTTATCCCATCTTAACTATTATGCTGATTACTTCATCCCTTTCCTTCCCAAATGAGAGTATTTTTTTTCCTTTTACTCTGTTGTCCTTCCTACAGCAACAATACCTACATTGAATTTCCCAATTGCATCGCAAGATTAAGGCCAGACTACATAAGCATTTTCTCCAGCCCCTGGATCCATCTTCTCATATTTTCCTTCCTCCATATTTTTTAGAATTTATTCTTGCAGTCAGAGTTTTCTGGATGCAATTATCTCTCTAAATCCACTCAGTCTAGTGTCTGTCTCCTTTGTTTCACAAGCCCTTGTCTGATCAAGACCAGTCCCTAGTTTAGTCTGCAAGTCTTTCCACTAACCTTCTCTTTTCCACTGCCCTTCATTGTTTGCTAAGTCCAAAATAATTTACTCCCTCTTACAGCTATCATATTCACATTCTGTGGAAATAGCTATTTCTAGTTATTTCTTTAGTTTCTCTCCTCTCTTATTCTTTGCTGGTATAGCAGTTTTCTGTCAATTTTTCCCCCTTCCCTTTCTCATTTTTTGCTTCTTATCCTGCCACAGTTGATACTGCTCTGACTTTAAACTACTATTTCCAGCCTAACTAGTCATTACCAAATATTCACATCATTCTAGATGTATTACAGTGTAATTGCAGATGAGTTATTCTTGCACATATTTTTCAAGTGCATTGCAAAGAGCTCTTTGGCATAGCCTAGTACTCAAATTGGTTCAAGGACTATCTAACCTGAGCTTCACATAAAGGAATCAGAATTGTGGGGTTTGCTTTTGTTAACCAAGCTACTATTTCACTGAGGATCTTGTTAATATCTGGACTATCTATCTGACATAAAAGTTACTTAGGGTACTTATTTAATGCAAGACAGAAATATTTCTTCTAATGAGACAGAGCATGAAGCAGACTTCACAATATTTAACATTCTGGTTAGAACTACAGGCTTTAATCTTAAATTCTCCATGCTATATGCTAAAAATAGGATGATTACAAAAACATCACAATATAAAAGCAACTTAAAAACTCATCCTTTCTCCTTTGACCTTTCTTTTCCCTCTTGTACACCTCATTTAAAATAGTCTTCAGAAATGAAAATATACATATATGCATGAGGTAAGATTTTTGTATATCCTTTTACAAGACAAAGAACAGGACTTGGAAACCCAATGAAGAGCGTACGGGAAGTGACTTTTAATTATTGTATTTGTATTCTTAGCTTTTGTTTCTTAAATTAAGAAAACCTTTTTGGCAAAAACACGAAAGCTGGCTAACATAGGGATTTATTGCTACACCCCTGAGCTGGCAGAAACCACCTGAACTAAATTTAAAGTCATCCCCCTTTAAGGCAACAAAAGTTATTACAAGACATCAGTCTTCTCTGTTTAGTGATAAATTACTATGTGCTAAGGGGATAAAGCACTATCTTAAAAAAGCTTGCACAGGCTTTAGTAGTCATGGCAACAGATGTGCACAACATCACTCCCTTGCTTATCAAAATCACAACTGAGCAGGGGAGAAAACACCTTATTAGGTATATTCGAAGCTTTAATTGATTTGGTTATGATTTTGATAGACTCAGTAGCTTCATCTAAGTGGCCTGCTACACTCTTTAATATACTATAGTATGCTGTTTATTAAAATCAGAGAAGCGAAGAGTGAACTTCACCTGCCAATTACCTTCAGAGATTAAAGTTACCTTTAAATAGTATGCTGTAGAGACAGTTCATAGCATAGGCAGGACTGTTGTTAAATCATTTTCAGGCTGAATTAAAGAACACCTTCATTCAAGAAAAACCTATGTCTTGAACAAATCATCTTGCAACTAGTACACAGTGCAGTAAAACTCAATATACAAGCCGGAATTAAAGCTGAGAGGCGAAAAAAACAGACAAAACCCTTTACTAAATTGTAAATGTATCAGCTATGCAAGCCCAACCGTTCCTTTTCTAAGCGATAGCTTTGCTGCATTTTTTTAATGTTAAAAAAAAAAAAAATTGTGTTAGGAGCAATAGAAAAAAGAAGTTATCTCCAAAGGAGAGTGCCTTTTATAGAGAACAAGACTGCAATTTCTCATTACCTCATGCTTCGTGTATCCCATCCTCGAACAGTGGTATCATTGGCTGTTGCAATCTGTGTACAATTGTGGTGTGGACTCCATCTTCCAGAAGTAAATTTTAACTGTCCTTTCCCTTCCAAGGCTGCAGAACTAGACAGCTAAAATAATGAAACAAAGCTAGAAATGTTTCTAAATGTAATGCTAAAATAAAACCAGTTCCACTGAAGATAAAAACTGCATAATAGCCTATTGGTGCAAATGTAACACATTACCAAAATCCTAGGATTTAAAAAAAAAATAATTAAAAGCTAGAGCTGATTCTGTAACTCATAAAGCAATTTTTACAAAGGGTCATGCAATGGAATGTATTTAGAAATATCAGAAGCACTGCACTACTTTACAAAGTAAAAAAAAAAAACAGTTTCAGATTAGTCATTGAAACAGTAGATAGACAATAGTGGCACATGGCACAAATTTGTAGCTGCCTCAGACAAACACAACGAATTAATGGAACTAAATCCAAGACTGTTTTCCATGTCAAAATGCTAAATTTTATCTGTAGGAACAGAATTATAGCATCAAAGACTCTTATAAACTTGTAGCAGCTTTAATAAATAAAAATTCAAAGCCACCCGTGTCCATGTCACCACCTATGTGCCTGCTAAAGTAACTGTGGGTGCTAGATCACAAGTCTACAATCTGTGAGAATCAAAGTTCTGTTCCAAACCAGGCTAGCACCTCATTGAACAAACAGCTCTGCATCTCCATAGTTAATGAAAAGAAGGTAAGAAGTAATCAGCTTTCTCTTTGAAGTGGCCCAGCAAGTTATCCTCCCATTTCACATGAACATGAAGGAAAAACAAAGCTGCAGATGCTGCAAATTACTTCTAATCACTTACTAAAGCTGATTGTTTAACAGCTAAAGGGGGAGAGGGAAAACCAAAATACTTCCATTTTAATCAGATACAAAATTTATAAAAATGTCAAGTGCCTAGGCAGATAGATTTACTGGCCATCTTTCATACAACATGCATATTTCAAAATGTTTCATTAAGAGGTATTTCACAAAAGCACGTTACTGCACTGGATCTCATTGAATCACTTTCATCCTTTACCTAAATCCTAACACATGGCACATGTTCTAGTAAACAGAAGATTTCTCAGTAGAAATACTACACTTTGATGGATGAAAAAGACTAAAACATACATACTGCTTAACTAAACTTCAAGTGACATCCACAGAAAAATAATCTGTCAATACAATACTGCTTAAATTCATTTGTATATGGTAACATGTCAAATTCTGTATTTTGCTTTTAATTATTAACTTTTTAATATTACAGTTCCACCAGGAATAATTTACTGCCCTTCCACCACTGAAGGTTATGCTACTTAAGATTTGCTGTCTTCCAAAATATTTTTTTTTTAAATATTTAAAAGAATGCAGAGTACCCAGCATGCAAGATGTTAATGAATGATGTAACCCTGTGACCAAACCTACACCTCTAGCACCATTCTTCTTCAAGTACAAATACTATCTGAAAGCCCTTCTACAACTTGCAGGTTATTAATATTGAGAAAAATACTGCATAGAAGACTGGATGCAGGATTAAAAAAAAAAAAAAAAAAAAA